ACGCACCCCCCTCACCCGCCGTGTTGCAGGTGTCTGCAACTCTCCCAGCTGCGCCTCCCGCGCCGCGCCGCCCCGCGCCGCCCCGCCCGCGCCCGGCCAGCCCGCGCAGTGCCGTTACGGTCCTTGGTGACAGCATCGCATTCGTTGTTATTGCATTTCGCGTGGCTGTCAATACAGGAGGCGCTGCGCTGCTGCGGACTGCCGCCGCCCCCCGCCGGGCGGGCCTCCCTGCTCCGTGGGCCGGGCCCGCCGGGCTCTGGCACGTGGTGAGCAGCTCGTAATGTGAAATGGGCGGGGGCGGTCGGGCGGGCGGCGACGGAGGCGGTAGGTGGATGGCCAGGCGAGTGCGGCGGGCGCCCGCAGCTTTGATCACGCGTCTGCTGCATCGACCTCTCTGCGAACTTTCGCGCCGCGCTGCCGCTGCCTGCGGATGTCCTCGCGCCTTCAGACAGCTCTCGACGGAGATGTGGCGGCTCTGGCGGTCTGCCTCCCCCTCTCGCCCGCTCCCCCTCCCTCGCTCCCCCTCCACGCCGGCCGTAGCGCCTACGTCCGGGAAGCGGGTGGCTGGTGGGCTGGAGCCGCATCGAGCAGGCTGCAAGGCGCGTGGAGCGATCCTGGCGCACGAGGCACAAAGTAGGTCTGAGAATTCGATGTGATGTCTTCATTATCGAACCACGAGCGTTTCCCCTTTCGTGTGGTAAGTTAGCCACGGAGGACCGCGATGAAGCTCGTCCAAAATGTTTCAATAGCACCAGAGAAATTTGCTCAGCACCTCAGCGCGGCGCGCGAATCTGCGTTTTAGCTCCACGGAGGGTTCTTCAGCAGATGAGTAGATATCTTTGCAAAAGCATCGTCGTTTTCTCCAACTAATTTCTTTCCCCATGGCAGTTCTATTCTACAAGACGCAAGATAGTTTTATCCCAAAATGGATATTTACGTCAAATACATCACGTTGAACGATCATTTTTCTTCAGGCAGAATAAAATCCGAATGTTTTTGTGGTGCATTGGTCTGGAAAGACAAATTCATAGAAAAAATGAAATTTTTGACGAGACTAACATTCCGCCGACTGCACGCACGATCTTTTCCTTTCGGTGGCCATTTAGCTAAGGACGATATTCCTGGATAGAAATTTGCCTAAGCTGGGGATGTGTTGTTTTGTCAAAACATACTAGTTTAAAATTGTGTGTAAAATTGTGTTTGTCATTGAGTAGTTACGGGATTGTTTAGTTAAATTTAATTGGAATCTTCTCTCTGGTCAGTGATGGGTCATACCACCGGCTAATGTCCTTTGTTCTGGGAGGGTAACTAAGATCTTACAAATATCCTATAAACGCATACATGTTAAAGTAGGATGGTCCATTTTTCCCCTGCATTAGAATACGTTGCTAAAGAATCGTGAGCTAAGAATGTCCTTAACTGAATATGCAAGCGAAACACATCATAGATCATTTACATAGAGTTAGATTGCATATTGAATCAAAATTCTCATTGGTAATAATTTTTGAAAATTTATTTTAAAAAGGTATAATGAGCTGTTCTTTAGAATGATTGTTTTTTAAAAAATTACTTGTCTTTGAGACCATATTGCAGTAGAATATTTGATAATGCCATTCACTCTGAAGCATACATTTATGGTCGTGCGGAATAGGCCCAATACTTTTTCAAGTTCTGATGCTTCACCAACACTGCTTGAGCTGCCCGTAACACATCACGCTCGCCTACTAGAACACTGCTCCAGGTGATATCAAAATCGACTTCTCTTTACAGCCGGTTTGATGACCGCCTATCATGACGCCGCACGTTTATGCTCCACGGGTTGACGGTAAGCTGCCGTTTCCCGCCGGGCGCCGCCACCGGCGGCCGTCCAGCAGGCCTGCGCACACCTCCCACCCAGGCACCCTCTCCTTGCCCGTCGGCGCCGGCCGGCCCAGGCCCGCCGTTCGCAAATAATTTTGCCGCCGCGGCGCGGGCTGGTATTGATAATGGGAGGAAAGTCCGATCGATCATGACGTGAGTAGCCGGGCGGGGTCAGAGGGGCGACGGCCCCGTCGAGGGGGGACAGCCACGCCCCCGTGCACCCTCGGGACTGCACCCTCGCCGGTGCTGGCGTTTCGCTCCCCTCGGCTCTTGCCACGCCCGCCGGCGCCGTGCGCGCCGCCATACGGGCCGCCGCACGGCAATTGGCGCGTTTCCGGGCACAGCAACGCCCGCACATTCGCCAGGTTGCGCCAGCTCATCCCCGCCCCGTCCCCGTTCCTCAGCTCAAGCCTGCCCTACCTTGCCCCAGCACGCCGCTGCTCCGCTCCGCATCATACCGGTCTCACCCCCGGGCTTTC